AATGGCTGAGGATGTCCCAAAATTAATAGCAGAAGCTACACCCTATACCTGGGAAACTCAGGAAACATGAAACAGAGTAAATATTAAAAAAAAAATCTATACCTTAGCATATCACATTCAAAGAAGAAAATCAAAGACAAAAAGAAAACCCTGGAAGAAGCTAAGAGGGGTGAAATACCTTATCTGTAGAAGAACAAAAACAGTAATTTTATTAAAGCTCTATTCAAAAACCATGCAAGCAAAAAGAAAGGGGTTTGAAATATTAAGTGTTCAGATAATAAAACCACGAGCCTAGAATTCTGTATCCAGTCAAAAGTGGAGTGAAAAAGTGACTTCTCAGACAAATAAAAACTAAAAACACTTCTTGTTCATAAAATTGCCTTGCCAAAAAGCAAATGTAAGAGAATTTCTTCAGAAAGACGAAAAATGATGTTCATCAGAAATGCCTATCTCTTTAAAAACGATTACCAGGGAAGAAATAAACAAAGGTAAAATAAAATATTTTATTATTCTTATTTTTAATTGATTAACAATAACTATTCAAAATAATAACAGAAATAATGTACTGGGTTATTATAGCACATGGATAAATAAAATGAATGATGAGAATATTATAAGGGACAGAAGAATTAAATTGGAAACTGTTACGAGATACCCGTAATACCTGTGAAGTATTATAGTGTTATGTGAAAGCAGACTTAGATTACTTGCACATATATATTGCAAGCCCCAGGGTCACCACTAAAATAACTATAAAAAGGAGGATAATTGACATGGTAAGAGAAAATGAAAACACGTAAAATGGTCAACTAAAACCAGAGAAGGCACTGAAAGAGGGGAAGACAAAAACAAACATAAAAAAACCAATAGCAACAGCAAACAGTTACAACTATTATAGGTATTAATCCAACTACATCAATAGTCACTTTAAATGTGAATACTAGGCTGGGTGGTGGCTCATTCCTGTATTCTCAGCAGTTTGGGAACCCAAGGCAGGCGGATCATCTGAGGTTGGGAGTTTGAGACCAGCTTGACCAATATGGAGAAATCCAGTCTCTATTAAAATACAAAATTTACTGGGCACAATGGTGCATGCCTGTAATACCAGCTACTTGAGAGGCTGAGGTAGGAGAATCACTCGAATCCGGGAGGTGGAGGTTGCAGTAAGCTGAGATCACACCATTGCACTCCAGCCTAGGCAACTAGCAAAACCGCGTCTCAAAAAAAATAAAAATAAAGTGAATATTAAATATGCCAATAAAAATAGCACAGATTAAAAAAAAAACAAAATGAAACAAAAGCAAAAAGCAAGTCCTACTACATATTTCCTGCGAGAAACCTGCCTTAAGTATGAGAACATAGATAAATTAAAAGCAAAGGTATAGAGACAGATATATTATCTTTACGCACATTAAAAAAAACTAGGTTATCCATATTAATTTAAGATAAAGCAAATTTCACAGCAATGAAAATTATCTGGGATAAAAAGTCATTACACAATGATAAAGGTCTCAACTTTCCAAGAAGATATGACAAAACATAATGTGCAAGTGCCTAACAACATAGCAAAAAAATACGTTACAAAAATTGATAGAACTGCAAGAGAAAAATGCATAAAGCACTACTGTAGTGGGAGACTTCCAATATCCCTCTATTTGATATCAAAACCAAATAAAGATACTATAAAAAATAAGAACTATGAATCAATAACATTCATGAACACAGATGTAAAAATCCTAAAAAAAAATCAGCAAACCAAGTACAACAATCTATAGAAAGAACTGTACATTATGTCAAATTGAGATTTATGCCACCTATGCAAGGCTGATTCAAGATTTGAAATTCTATCAGTGTAATATTTCATATCAAAAGGCAAAAGAAGAAAATTCGTATCATCATATCAACACATGCAGAAAAAGGATTTGTCAAAATCCAACACCCATTCATAAAATATACATTTAGCAAACTAGGAATAGAGGGGGACTTCCTCTACTTGATGAACAACATCTAATAAATAATCTACAGTTTAGAACACTTGAGGTTGAAGAACTATTCGTATTTCTCCTAAGATCAGAAAAGCCAATGAGGTCCATTCTTACCACTTGTATTCAACACTATACTGGAAACACTAGCTAATGTAATGCAACAAAAAAAAAAAAAAAAAAAAAAGAAAAAAAAAAAAAAGAAAAGAAAAGAGGCAGATTAGGAAGAGAAAAATATATGCAACTGTCTTTGTTTACAGATTATAGCATCCTCTACTTCTAAAGTACAAAGAATTAGCAACAAAAAATCTTCTAGACTAATAAGCAATTATAGTAAAGTTTCAGGATAGAAGGTTAATATACAAAATTCAATTGCTTTTCTATATGCTAACAAATCAAATTTTATATGAAAATCTTTTCAAATCTTATATCTTTTATTTCCTTTCCTTCTTTACCTCTATAAGTAGTTGCTGAATAGAGGAAAGGCAGCAGACATTTGTTGTTCCTTACAGATTTTTCTAACATTTTACATTAATTACATGTGAACTATATAACAAAAATGTATTTATTTTCATAGGTACCATTTTTCTGTGTAACAAAATGTACTTCTTTGCTTTGATTTCTACTTATCAAAAATGGATGGTAAAATTCCTTGGCCACTGCTCTGTATCTATTAATCAGATGAATTTTCTCATTTAATAGTCTATATTACTGCTAAGACAGAAGTTCAACATCTCTCTACTTGACCTACATGCTCATATGCCTCCTAAATTTCCTAATTTCCCTCTATTTTTGGTTTTTAGGTTTCTTCCCTTTGTTTCAGCTCAACAATGCTTTTAAGATATGTTTTAGTTTTAAAAATCTAATATAACTCATACAAGTTTTACCCTAATTGACAGTATATTTTAGGCTTTCTACTCTACTATGTGATCAGAAAAATAATCAATCATTCTTCATTGAAGTCTACAAACGCCTTTCAAGATGTATCCCTGAGCTGAGTGTGGTGGCTCACTCCTATAATGTCCATACTTTGGAAGGCTGAAGCAGGAGAATCACTTGAGCCCAGAAGTTCAAGACCAGCCTGGGCAACATGATGATAAAACCCCATCTCTACAAAAAAAAAAAAAAAAAAGGTAAAAATTAGCTGGTGGTATGTGCCTATAATTCCAGATACTCAGGGGGCTGAGGCAGGAGGATCCCTTGAGCCTGGGAGGCAGAGTTTCTAATGAGCCAGGATCACACCACTGTACCAGGGCCTGGGTGACAGAGTAAGGCCCTGTCTCAAAAAAAAAAAAAAAAAAAAAAAAAAAAAAAAAAATTCATGTTTTCCTCTCAGAAAGCACTATGTCACCACTAATTTCACTTATAGTAAAAAGGTCACTAGACAGGATACATAAATATTATAGGTATTGGGAAAATATCAACTGTATTCCATGGGAACTTATTGGTATAATATTTTCTTAATTCTGTTTTAGAAACGTAGATCACAGAGATGATAAAACATACGTGCAGTAAAAAAATCTTGTGAGCAAATTTAAAGGATGGTGACTACCACCTTCATGGGCTTGATCTAAAGCTGCTTCATCTTTGATTTTTCTTATCTGCAGAAATAATTAAAGTAAGTAGTATAAGACAATAATCTAGGAGCATGTTATGTGAGAAGATAGCATAAGAATATAAAATAAGATGAAAATGTGTTCCCAGGCCAGGCGCTGTAGCTTGTGCCTGTGACCTCAGCACTTTGGGAGGCTGAGGAGGACAGATCATTTGAGGTTAGGACTTTGATACCTGCCTGGCTAACATGGGGAAATCCTGTGGCTACTAAAAATACAAAAGTTGGCCAGGCATGGTGGTGCATGCCTGTAATCCCAGCTACTAGGGGGGCTGAGGCAGGAGAATCGCTTGAATCTGGGAAGTGGAAGTTGCAGTGAGCTGAGACTGTGCCACTGTACTCCAACCTGGGTGATGAAGTGAGACTCTGTCTCCAAAAAAAAAAAAAAAAAAAGTGTTTCCAGAATAACTAAAATAAGTTCAAGTGACATGTTCCAGTTATATTGGTAGAAAACCAATATATCGAGGCTTTAATTTTATCTTTAACCATACACAAAGGGTTTACATGAAGAATAAAGATTATAAAATTATAATTTTTATTCACATAATCTGACATAGATGATTCCTGATATTCTACCCTCTCCCCAAAGTACCTTTCCTCTTCTCCTGCCCACTGGTTTAACAAGTTCTTTCTCTTTCTATGGGTTTTTGTTGAAAAGTTATTTCTTTAGGGTCATCTCATCTTGTTTTCTAGAATGGGTTGGATGACCTGGTTTACATTTCTCTTGCATCCTGTCCTTACTTTTTATAACAAGCATCATACTTACATGACTGTTCAACTTCTCATGAATGTAAATTCCATGAGGACAAACAGGATCCTCATGTATTATTTCTTGCTACATCTCCAGGCCCTAGCATTGTTCTTTGCTCATACTGGGACTCAATAAGCAGTCGTTCAATTAAAAAATGAATAAATGTGATGACCTATTAGTAACAATTGTCACTCTAGGTTGGAAAACACCTTCTGTTATTGAAGATAGAACCACTTGCATAATTAAGAAAAAGATTAAATGCAAAATGGTTAGACTGATATTAAACACTGATTGATAAATTCAATATTTTGTTTAAATGGCAGTTATTTACCTATTTTATTCTTTGATTATTTTAGAGATTATAAGTATTTGCCAAAGAATGTAATATGTTAGAATATTCATCTTAAAGTCACTCATAATATTGGCACTTATTCAAGATCCTGAAATAGTTCACAAAAGAGCCCAAGTGTTTCAAAAACTATCTATGTGGTATCTAATGAACAATTACTCTCCTCTCAACTGCAATTTTAAGTCTCTTACATTAACTTATATCTCTCTCTATAAACATGTAGTCAATGTGCAGAGGATACTATGTGTCAAAACAAATAGTAATGAAAAACGGGGAAAAGGGGAGATTAGTCATGAGTTCTTATACCTGTAAGTGATGTGCTTGTGCTGCCACTTCTGTCCTGTTAATGCATATCGTTTTCGACGAATATGAAATTTGGAGCTACCTCTTGTCTGGTCAGGTACACCACATCGGGGCTTCTTCATCCAGCTGCAAAAAAGGAGCAGTATTTCCAGTTATTTACTAACAACCCTAATCATTAAACTGAAAAGGTAATCAATTAAGAGGTTCATCCAAGACAGTGATGATGAAAACAGCAAACTACAAAGTAAAGAGAACACTCAATTGTCTTGCACTTTGAATCTAAGTAGAGAGCATAGTTTTTCCTTAAGTATCAAGAATCACTGGTTTACTATTTGGATCCTTTAGATAATTTTCTTCTAATTCATTTCGAGATAACTGTAGACAGAGGTACTCTAAAGCTTCTAAAAATTTACCGTTAACAAGATATATAATCTTGGGCAAGTTTTTAATTCCTAGTGTTACTTATAAAATGCCACTACAGAGTATTCTACCTTTAAGATTCAAAAATTATCCTAATCTATTACCTGAATTTAAATCCCAGGATTCAAAAGGTTATATGCTACCCTGTTCTAACTCACATAGCAGTCAACTATTCAAATAACATGTTCATTTCTCCACCTTTTCTTCTTTACATATGATCATTATTTCATTTCCAAGTAGCAGCCACTTGCTTTGAATATTTGATAACAAAATTCAAGGCTTAAAAGATATTTTTCTCAATATGAGGTTTTGCATTAAGGTTTAACATATTTAAATTAGAAAAGGAAACACTTTTAATTTTTGAATCTTAATACATATACAGATAGAATAGTCTAACTACTCTTCTAGAGACCCTCACTGGACCACTGTCACATTTTCTATTTATTCTTGTATCTTACCCAAGTAGACAGATTTTCATGATTTTGGGTACTTTTTTTTAATGCCTTATAAAGTGACTTTACTGTTTATTAGCCCATTTATTTTAATAATTACAAAGGTAAGGCCAAATCTTCATAGTACTACATGGTTCAGAAAGTAGAAACAAACAAACAAAAAATTTTGGAGTATTTACCTTATAATTTCTATATTTTTTAAATGGAAAAGGAATGGTCATAGAAATGACTAAGTCATTTACATGTTAAGTAATATACACATGAAGTAATTTACATGTTATGCAACAAAATCGAATAATCTTTTACAAACATAACAATAACTTCCTGCAACAGTGAAAGAACAACTTTTATTTCTTAAGAAAGATGGCACTTTTCCAGTAAACATTAAAAGATTCTGCTTTCTTATTATGACCCCAGCAATGTAGACCAAGTGGTTACCAGATTTAACAAATTCCATTCTAGCTGAAATGCATTGTAGAGTTACTTCAGAAAATCATTCTTTCCCTTTATTAAAGTCCCCAAACTAATAAAGACATCTTGTAAGTGCAAAATTCTAAGAGTCTACCCAGCCCTATGGGACTAAACTCTCTGGAGGTGAGACCAGGGGCCCCTCATTTTTAACTAACACTTCCAGGTCATGCCTAACACACTGAATTTGAGAGACATTTCACTACACTGTAAAACACTTAGAAGGAATTTGGTATTGCAAGTATCTTGCACAACTCCTAGCATAGAAGAAATATCAAGTAAATATTAATTGACTAGATGGATATGGTTATTTTTATTGTGTAACAGTTTAAGATCTAGATACCGATTCAACTAATAATTATTAATAGCATGTCTATGATGATTTAAATTGCTTTTATATATAGGTATTAATTATATTCTCAAAAAATTATCCCTAAGGTAGGTTACTTATCTTGACTTATCTCATTGAAAGTACTGGGAGGACAAAGAACATGTAATTCTGAAATATGAGTATGTTTACCTAATGTGGGATATGGCTACATTCACATTTAGCTAAGAAAAACATTTAAGTCAACCACCTGTGAAAAAAAATTGAAATGGATAGCTGGATAAAATTTGAAACAATAGAATTAACTATTATCAAAATAAAATGTACTTTCAATGAGGGTATAGTCTCGCAAATTACTTTAGTATGTATAAAATTGAAAAATGAAGGCAGTAATGTCATGCTTTTGTTGGGGCCAGTAGAAGTTTTCTTTGTGAAGTGTGCATCTTCCAAAGAACAGATATTTTAGGGAGGAATATTAGGTTCCTATGCTAAAAGACATCTCTGCTGAATCTCTTATATAAGTCTTGGGCTTTTGCCCACTTTATATAGTTGTTTGCTTGGATTCTAACTATTCGTTCATTTACCTGTCTCATCCTGATTTGTTCACCCTACAATATTTTTGAGCTTTTACAAAATGCTAAGATATTAAAAGAAAGTATGGATTAAAAGGTGAAGAAAGAAAGAGGCTCTTCCTTACTGAGCTCATAACACACAGGTAAGACATGCACAATTTTAAAAGTACAATATAATGGGGTAAGTGCTCTCACACCTCCATCTAGACATCCTGTCATCATCTCTAATGTTATATGTAATACAAAGAAAATCATGATATTCCTGCTCCAAACTTACACCAATTTATCTGATGCCTCATCTCAGCTGAAAGCCTTAACATCTTTTAAAGCCCATACCGGATATCCAGGTACAATCTTCCGCTACTCTCTCCTCACTTCCAGTCAATAACAGTCTAGTTTCTTCTACCCTCAAAATGTCTCTTTCACTCTCAACACTTAGTTCATTTTCATGACTAACAATGCATTTTTCCAAAGCAAAGGCGTGCTCTCTACATGTTCTGAGCATGATGTGCCTTTGTAGAAAGAATCTTCTTCATGCCTATTTAGCAAGGGTGTTTCCTGTCCTCCTTCTTTTCAAAATCCCCTAGAGTTTCTAAAGAGCCAAGCCTCTTCTGCCCTTGTATGCAATGACCTCTGTCTAGAATACATTTTGCACCTTGTTTACCCTGAGAATCCTAATTATTATTAATATTCAACTCACATAGATATGGTTTACCACCCCAATACAGCAGGTCTTATGTGTATCCTGATTTGTATGTGTCTGTCTCTATCAACCACTGACCTGTGAGTGAGGGTAGAGAGCCCAGCATGTGGTCAGTGCCTAGTGAAGTTGCCAATAACAAACATGAAGCAAATGAACTAAGTCTATATGTCTTGTTGCATATACTGGTCATTTCGACAACCCGACATATTTCGTGGACTTCTAACTTTTTCCAACTCTGTGCCTTGAAAAAATGATTATTGTAGAGATATTATGTGGACACTTATATAAAGCAAAATCATGAAGTAGATGATTTACACATAAGAAATAAGCATAACATATACAATTTAATATCAACTAATGATTTAATGAAAGTAACTCTGAATGAAAATTGGTCAAGTTGAGAATACTCTATGTTAACTTCACCAATATTTGTATCCAAATATGCTGGCACAGACATATTAGTGGGTGTTATCTTCTCAAAGTACATAAAATATCACAAATACAATCAAAGCACATCACACTACTGAACATGACACAGAATCTGAGCTAAATTGATCTTCAGGCTTTTGTATATCACTTGGAACATTTTGTATATGACTGGAAACATTTTAATAAGCAGGCAGGTTCTTTCTTATAGAACTTTTAAAGTTCCCAATGGATATAAAGAATGGTCAGTGTTTAACAGGACTCATCAATGCATTAAATGTTGTCTAATATTAAATGCAAAACTGGCATGTTAATATTATTATTCAGTCACAGTCCAGGAGTCAGGTTCATTTCCAGTTGCCCAAATAGATAATATGAATTTATTAGGCACTAAAATGTTAGTAGCATTCAAATTTCAGTTTGATAAATCCCACATATACCTGTTAACACAAAAAGCAGGCATATATAACTATGACTATCTACATATAAAGTTAATATATAAGTGTAATATATATATATTTGCTTATTACCAAATATACTGGCAACTTGGCAAAATCTAGTTACCACCTTTTTTAAAAAAGCTTTCAATAACATACTACTTCAGGCAATACTTTTTTGTGACAGTGTCACTGGTTAAACATAGTTACTTTTTCAGTGTGTCAACACACAAATCATATAACTGTGCTTTTTCTTTTTCTTGACTGACTCACTTGTGAGAAATTTTAAGTTGACATCCCAAAGAAGACAAGACATGGGGAAGGAGCCCTGCAGCATGGGGTAGGCAGTTAACAGTAAAAGGCATTTTGTAATTATCAAGGTGTAAATAACAACATGGCTTCAGTTTTCATAAATATAGTACTGATTTTTAACACTGATTTAATTTTTAAGAAACTAGAGAATTTTAAAATTAGGTGGAAAGATCATTAATGTCTTCATTTAAGTTAACTCAATTTAAAAAGAAAAAAAAATGTCTAGAATCAGTGCTCTTGAGAGGAGTATAAAAACTGAAAGCAGAGATCCTGGTGCCAAACTGCAGAGTTACCACACTGGCTCCACTCACTGACTCACTAGCTCTACAATAATTGTCAGGTTACTGTTTCTTTTTATGTTTCAGTTTCCACATCTATAAAAAGGAGATGATAATATGACCTCTATTTTAAATAATTAAAACATTTTGAACACTTAAAATAGTGTCTAGCAGACAGTAACTATTATTATTTTACAAATATCAGGAAGTAGTTGTACCGCTGGTAGTAGTGGTAGAAGCAGCAACAGCAGCAGCAGCATACAGTATCAGTGTGCTTCACCTCCCTTTGACCTGTATGTATGTTATTTAAAACAGGGATCTTTTTGATACTTTGATATTAGAAACGTAAATAAGCAGCTTCACTGTCCCCTGTTTCATGTAAATAAAGTAGCCAGAAGCTTCTAAACAGTTTGCTGTACAAACACACACACACACACACACAACACAACACACACACACACACACACACACACACACACTATCTGAAAGTGTCCATTAGCTTCAGCAAAACATATTTTTAAAAACTATTTAATAAGTTGGGCATTTATGTCAAACACACAAGACCGCTGACTGCATGACTCTAAGAGGTGTCCTTACGTTATAGTCCGTGCACCAGGTATCCCGTGGTGGCGCTGCAAGAAGGCAGTGCTTCAACAAAATACAAAGTAAACACCATCCCTTGCAGCTAGAGCTCTGCCGCACAGTGGCTCTGTGTACATACTCCTATCTT